TGGTACAACCACCGTGTGAACAGCTATGCATGGTGACTAGGGCCCTCACAGGACACTGCAAATTGAACAAGCATATGGCTAAGCTAGGCCTATGCACGACAAAAATCTGCAGATTCTGCCAAACTGAAAATGAAACGCCACTACACATCCTATGTGGTTGTAGCCCACTCATGCATAAACGAAATATCTCCTTTGGGAAATATACACTCTATCCCGAGATAAAAACCATCGCTCCTAAGCATATCCTTCAATTCTTGTCCCTTACGAGTCTAGGCAGCCAACTCTGAAAAAGGGCGAGCACAATAGATCTATGCAGGTCTGAATATGAGGTCAGGTCAGTTAGCCCATCGTGACAAATTCACTAACAATTTATCACGACGGTTTCCAGGAGGAACCGCGTGGAGGTCGACCTAACATGGTACATTGCTGGCAATGGGGATTACTAGTTCCCATTACTACCAATCCCTTTTCCCCCACATTTAAAAGGTTATCTAGGTTAAGTTAATCTTCCCTTCCTTTCTTAAATATGGTTAGATTCTCCCCCGTGGCGGGTCTCCATAAGCGTATAATTTTCTCCAAGTAAAAAGAAGAAAGGTTAGTGTCGTAAACGTCTAACGTATGTGTATTTTCTTCTTTCACTCTTTCTCCTTCGGTTCACTAACATATTAATAATAATCTTTACATAGTATAAAACAAATTCGTCCCCGCTGTCTGTTCGCTTATATTTAGACACGCTAATATATTGTAATAATAATAATAATAAAAACTCTCTAAACCTTCAAATTTATATATTGAGACATAGTATAAAACAATGCCAAGTTCAATGGTCTGTCCTGAAATGTATTTATAACAATATAAAAAATCAATTAGACCCCGCTGTCTGTTTAGTTATATCTTTTAAATTACACAACGGATTTTAATGCAGTTTTCAGTAATAGATAGAGTGATTCAAGAGGAAGGTTTATATGTATAATACATGCGTGTTATAGTATAGAACAAGCCGAGATATTTAAATATTTGTAAAGCATCCGTACGAAGCTAATAGGTATATTATAATTATTTTGGAGATCGAGATAAACCGATTTTTTACCCTTAAAAAGCGTAGAAATCTTTTTGAATTGGTTTAGAGACGTGCTATGAGAATTGTCGATGATGATTTCTCTGGCTCTCGAACCACTTAGTTTGAGGCGAGATTTCGCATCGCTTTGTGTGTTCTACCGAATATACAACGGACTGTGTTCAGAGGAATTGTTCGACATGATAGCCCACGGTTACTTTTACCATCGCATCGCTCGCCATCGACAGGGAATTCATCCCCACACGCTGGAGCCTAAGTGGGCTCGGACAGTGCGGTTTCAGAGGAGCTTCCTCCCGCGTACACTTACATTGTGGAATGAAATACCTGTCGTGTTTTCTCACGAGACTACAGCATGAGGTTTTCAAGAAGGGTATATTAAGGTTTCAATGCGCAATGTAATCCCTGGTGTTTTAGGCATTTCGGTTTACCATCAGATGGGCCGTATGCTTGGTTACCACCATCGTAGCATAAAGAATATAAGCAGAGCTTGTGTTATGGGTACTAGACAACTGATATAAATATTATACTTGAAATTTTTTTTCGATACATAGAAAACGCTCAGACTGATACAAACAATCATATTTATGAATACAAATGTTTTGTGTGAGGAATCGAACCCGGGACCGTTAGGAATAAAGCAGTGTACTAAACCGCTAGTCCATCGCGGACTTCTTATTAAAGGTATCTCTAAGTAAAGAGATATGATGCTAAAGATGGACTTAATGTTAAAAGCATTCTCTATCAGTTAACTGTTAGGGTGAAAAGTAAATCACGAATGCGGTACTTAATTATTATAATTAATTAAATTAATTATTTAACTAATGGTCACCCAGTGGTCGAAATTCCACAGACTATAATCTAAATATATATAACTCAAAGGTGACTGACGTAGTGATCTATCACCGCACAGCCCAAACCACTGGACGGATCGGGCTGAAATTTGGCATGCAGGTAGATGTTATGACGTAGGCATCCGCTAAGAAAGGATTTTTATTAATTCTACCCCCAAAGGGATAAAATAGGGGATGAAAGTTTGTATGAAACCAAATTTAAACCGATCGGGCTGAGACTTTGCATGCATAAAGCTACTATGACGTAGGCATCCCCTAAGAAAGGATTTGGATAAATTCCACCCCTAAGGTGATAAATTAACGCGAGCGAAGCTGTGGGCAAAAGCTAGTAATATACAAAAATGTGTGTGTGGGAAATGCATGCATGTTTTTATTATTGTAATGTAATAATCTAGTTTTTATGCATAATAAAAAAAAAAAATAGCATCCTGTAGTCTGTCTGTAAGTGATTAATATTATAAATGCGAAAATTTGCGAGTATGGATGGATAGATGTATGTCTGTACGTTACTCTTTCACGCAAAAACTACTGAATCGATTTTAATGAAATTTTACAGTAATATAGCTTATACCGTTCAGTAGTTTTTGCGTGACAGAGTAACATACATACATACATCTATCCATCCAAACTCACAAACACTCGCATTTATAATAATAAGTGAGATAAATGTGTGAAAGGGATATAAATTTTCACACAAAATCTTTTTTTTTGTATATCTACTCCAGATTTCAACTCACGACCGTCTAGTGGCAACCCAGGGTAGCAAACCACTGTGCCACGACTCTATAAAGTGGGACGGTGAATAATGATGGATTTAATTAAATATACAACAAGTCTGCTGCGACTGAGTCGCGTCTTGGTAACTCCTCGGAGTCAAGTATCGGGCATAGATTATGATATTAAATTGTTTCTGTTGCGGGGACCGTGGGGACGGGGGGAGGGGGGCGGGGAGACGACAGGACAGGGCCGCATTTAGATTCATAATCAGCTAAATTTGTTACCGCTGTGGTGGTTACACACGGTCACATGTTATTTTTAATAAGATTACAATGGAATGGTGCACCCGCCTGCGCCAACGGTAACGCTGGCGGGGCACCAGTGGAGAATGATAAGTGAGTATGAGGTCAAGTCAGTTAGCATATCGTGACAAATTCACCAATAATTTATCACGATGGTTTCCAGGGGGAACCGCGTGGAGGTCAATCTGTTGTGGTACATTGTTAGCAATAAGATCATCAATCCACATTACTAACAATTTCCTTTCCCCCCGCTAACGTATATTAGTCGCAACGCCATTAATTTCTATTATTTATAAAAAATCTCTCTAGGATAATAGTCGGAACGGAGAAAAAGGATATTGTTAGTACGTGGATTGATGATCTTATTGCTAGCAAAATACCATGTCAGGTCGACCTCCACGCGGTTCCCCCTGGAGACTATCGTGATAAATTATTGGTGAATTTATCACGATGGGCTAACTGACCTGACGTCATGTTCGTCTATCATCCTCCATCCTCCACTGATGCCCCGCCAGCGTAAACTGTTAGAGCAGGCAGGTGCACCATTCCATTATCATACATAAAAAAAATATATAGGTTAGGGGTGGTGGACAATATACATTTTTAAAATGTGATGATTTTTCTTTTATTTTGTTTTAGTTTTTGTCAGGTGTTAAGATCTGTTGCACTGCGACCTGCATAGATGTATTGTGCTCGCCCTTTTCAAAGTTCGCTACCTAGACCCGTCAGGGACAAGAATTGAAGGATATTCTTAGGAGCGATGGTTTTCATCTCCTCAGGGTATAGTGTAAACTTGTTAAAGGAGATATATCGTTTATGCATGAGTGGGCTACAACCACATAGGATGTGTAGTGGCGTTTTCTCTTCTGCTTGGCAAAATCTGTAAATTGTTTTTGGAATTTTGCCAATATGATAAGCTAAAACCTTCCTTGACCTATCTTTTTTTTTTCTATGCTGCAATGACCAAATTATCCTATAACATTTTCTAGTGGTAATAAATCTCTTTTTAGGATAATAAATAATTATTATTTTTTTTCCTGTGTGTGTACAATAAAGAATAAAGAATAACTTAAAGCTTTTGTTGTTAAACAAGTTTGCGCTGTATCTTCTGGGCTATAAGGTGTGGTAATAAACCAGCGGGCCACGACGGTGTAAACAATATTTCTTATTCAGTAGGATGTCAGATCACCTCCACTTAACTGGTGACTGACTGGACTGTGGATCCACCACATATTACTGTATTTGTCATGACAGACTGACTTGAGTGCACCTGTGTAGATCTAGCGAGTTCTTCAATAAATGAAATGTAATTTTATGACATATCTATAAGTATTGTTCTAATACAATAAAGGAAACAAAAGAATTGTGACGTAGAGCATCTTTGAAGTCGCCCGTGATAGCATAGAGGAATGGTTGCAGACCGGCCACTGAGATGACCTCGAGCCCCGCCAGTATCATCAACAGCAACGCGTAGACATACCCTTAACCTAATACCGTCCGCTGGTGCTCTGCTAGCGTTTACCATTAACGCAGGTGAGTGTAGCTTTCCATTAACATTTATAAAAATGGTAAATCTTAATGCCCCCTGAAGTCCGTCACTGCCTCAATCAAAGGCTTTGCCGACCGCAAATCACTGCGGAACCACACCCCCAAATCTGGCCCCGCCCACGCTCGCGCATGCGTAATAGCGGCCAATCAGCGCCCACGCCACTCACCCTCGCTATGGCCGCCAAAATCGGCAATCATGCACCCTCAATTGACCGCTAAGTGATGTCATTTTTTTCGCGCCAAACCGATCGCATGACGTGCGGCCCCGCCCTTCCAATTTCAAAATTTTCATTTTTTAATCATAAACCACAGGCAAACGTGCTCCGGTCGCCAGTACGCGCACTCGTCTAATGCATATACCATAGAGTTAACTAATTAAGTCATAAATTAACAACATTTACCAAATAAACCTTAATAATGTGACTAAATTCTATAGTGATTGTGGTGTTATTTAAAATGATAATTGACTATTTAATTGTTTATGATATTTATTAAAATTTAACAATGATGGATCAAAGGCAGAACATTTATCCGGCGAATTTAACGGATTTATTAGCGGTTTCGGCGTATCAACAGAATTGCGACAGGCTGTCGGTGAAAGCCGACGGCGAAGACAAATACAATGCAGACAGTTTCGGGGACAGTGCAGATCGTTATGCCGACAGCGGTGATCGTTTCGCCGACAGGTCGTCGTCACCAGCGTCGACTTTGGACGACGGGGAGTCAAGTCAATCGGCATTTGGTGTTGACTTGACAGGAAAGTCTACGAATTTGGGAGGGAAATCGTTCACAATAGCCGCCATATTGGGTCTGACGAATGCAGAAGAGGATGTGATGAATTTAACGGTACAGGAACGGTTGCACCAAAATCAGCGACATCTACAGAATTACCTATACGCTGGTCAAGATATGCAGAGGTTTAATGATGGCTTCTGCAGAAGTATGGTCGGTGTTTCAGCAGGTTTAAGACAAGGTATTGTATTATCGTTGCAGTAGTTAATAACTGATGGTCTCGGTGGTCTACCGCTTTGTTTCTGATGAACACGGGTTCGATCCCTCGCACGGAGCAAATATTTGCATTCATGAGTATTGGTCCAGATGTTTTCAACGATATAACTAGTCTGGCCATAAATACTGTTATATAAAAACTTTTCTTTTTCAAGTATTTAATTATTTTGAATTTGGAACCAGTTTATTATTTTAAAAACTTCTTTCGATGTGGTGCCATTACATATATTTTTTCATGTTCATTATCAAATGAGACAATATGGAATGGGGTGTTACAAGAAAATAGGATTGCAGTGATAGCCTTGCACAAAGTGGGCATGGAGCCGTCGGTTATATTCCAGACATGTCAAAAGCTTGGCATCAACCGTATGTTTATATACCGTATCAGCTACAACAACACTTCGTCTGTTGAAGACCAGAAAAGATTGGGACCGCGTGCTGTTAGAACTACAAAGCCTCTTAATGTTGTTAAAATCAAATTTGGTTGAAACCCCATTAGAAGCAAAAAATGTTATCGCAATAAAGACTCCCGCTAGGACTCCGTCGTGTATTATAAAACAACACCTGAAACTCGGTGCCTATCGTTGATATACAGGACATATCCTAAATCAATCTTTACAATTACGAGTGTGGATCGATCTGTCGCGATACGCAGGTGATAGGCACAGAGATATATTATTTACCGATGAAATTTCACAATTGAAGAATACTACAATAAGCAAAATGTTAAAGTAGTCAAGTCGGAAAAGTACAATGAACAAAACAAAACATCATCAAATTCAAATTCAAAATATCTTCCTACATGTAGGTCTATTACAGACTCTTATGATATGTCAAATCTACCGTCAGTTCGGAATGATTTCGAGATGAGAAGAACTGACGAGAAACTTAGCTCGTATTATTTTCAAATTAATATTATAACATGTTTACAATAATACAGATTAATTTTAAAATTTAAACTGTCCTATTCATCCTACGTCAGTGATGGTTTGTTATCAAGAAGTCACAAAACAACATTTTTGGGAATAAAGGAGTGAAAACCTCAGCCAATGTGTATCAAGGTATAGTCTTGGATAATTTTGAGAAACCTCTCAGCAATACACTTTTTAAAATATACGATGGACGTTCCAGTAGGACTTTGCACCTGGTCACACGGCACGAACTCCCAAGCCTGGCTTGAAACTAATTTTTGAGACTTTATAAGAGCTGTACTGACCCTACCTGGCTAGCCCAGACCTCAACCCTTCAGATTTTAAATTATAATCAGTTCTTGAGGAGATGGCAACATTGAGTCTCTTAAAAAATCTTTGGAGCGAAAATTCCTTAGAAACAGTGCGTAAATCTATAAGAATCGTGGCCAAGTGACTGATTAAAGGCCTGTATAAAAGCGAAAGGTGTTAAAATAGACTTTTTTTTTAAATCTTTTGCTGGGACTTTAATAAATATATGTACATATAAATTTTAATAATAACAATACTCATTAAACAAAAAATTCATTTTCTTTTGTAACTGACGGCTGGAATAGGTAATTTTTTTGTAAATTGTATAGTTATCTATGCATCTAAGTATTTATATCAGTTGTCTAGTACCTACCCATAACACAAGCTTTGTTAAGTGTGGAACTAGATGGCGCTGTGTTAATTGTACAAGGGTATTTATTTAATTATTCCTTGATGAACACCTGATTAATTTGAAACACGCCTGACCAAAGAAAACATTTAAACACGAGTGATATACAAAACCTCTTCTTATTCTTATTTCATCTTATTTAATCAAGACTATTATTACAGATATCATATACATTTTTTTTTATTTTATACTAGCTGTGTTGGCAGTTTCAACCGCGTTAGATTTCAATAAAAAAAATATAAAAAAATCATAAGGTATATTACTGTAATGTTTCATCAAAATCCGTTCAGTAGTTTTTGCATAAAAGAGTAACAAACATCCATCCATGCCTACTCACAAATATTCGCGTTTTACTATCGTCCCATCCGGGCTTCGCACAGGTGGACATTTTTACATTTTACATTTTTATTTAATCCTACCTAATTAAATTGACTAAGTTTTTTATTTATTTTTTTATTTTTATTTATTGTTTTTTTTTTATATTCTTTCTTTTTTTACGGCGCGGGCGGTTGGCAGCGCCTTTTCTATATCTGACTTTTTAACATAATATCTTTCGAATGTAATATAACTGGGTATTAAAAAATACAAAAAATAATCTGCAGGTAGGTACTTAATTTTTATTACAAAATAATTTATTTGGAGAAGGATAAAATAATAAATAGATATGAATAACATGTACCTACAATGCGACAGTGTTATTTTTTCTATTTCTATGATTACGTCGATTAAATAGAAAAATAACATTTTTAAAAATTAGAAGCTAGATTTACCTCCTTTAATATAAGTCAATTAAATTAACCACGCCGTCTTAATTATTATCAATACTTTTAAAATAAATAGGTACTTAATAATAAATACTACTATGTAAATTTAAAAAATTAAAGAAAAGAATAATTTAAATAAATTTAAAAACTTTGCCTTGTAAAAAATGTACATTTTGATTACTGACATTTTTCTATTTAACCGACGTTTGTTAAATTCGTAATATCTATTCAATGGAATAACCGATTCGAACAAATCATAAAGTAATCTACATAAATTGAAACAGTTTTAGAAACAATATAATTTATTTAGATAGATAAGGATTTATACAGAAATATGAATGACATGGTGTAATTTTGATCGGTATTTCTATCAACTTTTAAAATGTAACAATTGGTTATTGTGATATAACGATAATAGTTTTGTAGTTATTGATATGTTCTTCAATATTGTAGAACATACTTTAGTTCTATCACCAATAGTTTCCGCAGCGCACGCGACGAAAGATATTTTATAACATTTTTTTATACCTTGAGTTACATCACTAATCTGCAGATTCTGTCAAACTGAAGAGGAAACGCCACTACACATCCTATGTGGTTGTAGCCCACTCATGCATAAACGAAATATCTCCTTTGGAAAGTTGTCTATCCTGAGCAAATAAAAATCATCGCTCCTAAGAATATCCTTCAATTCTTGCCCCTGACGGCTAGACCCGTCAGGGGCAACTCTGAAAAAGGGCGAGCACAATACATCTATGTAGGTCGCAGTGCTACAGGTGCTACAAACATCTGACACTACGTGATAAATTCCTGGTGAATTTGTCACGATGGGCTAACTGACCTGACCTCTGCTCATCTTATCATCCTCCACTGGTGTCCCGCCAGCGTAAACCGTTAGCGCAGGCGGGAACACCATCCCATTATCATCCATAAAAAAAAACATCTGACAATAGCCCAAACAACCCAATAAAAAAAATACGTCACTAAAGTTTTAGTAAGGATCCCTAATATATTCTAGCAATAAATATAGCCTATGTTACTCAGGGTAAATGTAGCTTTCTAATGGTGATAGAATTTTTGAAATCGGGAAAATAGTTTTTCGAGTTTTTTCATTACAAACATACATACACACAAAAATACAATTCTTTCCTCTTTGGATTAGCAAGTGTTTGGGAAACTACTCTGCTACCAAAATGTTAGGGAAACGTCAGTCACGTACCTGTATGGTTCTGTGGATTTCTTGGGCTTCAGGGTCTCGAAGGTATCTTCGCTAGCTTTCCAGTTTCACAGTAGGTTTCACAGTTCTAATTTATTTTAATTCACACCAAATGCGCGCGCGCGTCAAGGCCGCTGTACGGTCCGTTTGTTACTAGTTAGGGAGGGGAAGGGAACGCGCGGGAACAGAAAACTAACGGACTCTAATATAATATAATATCTGTGCTTACGATAATACAGGGTAGATTTTGAACAGCAAGCTAACGTGATGGCAAGTGATAACCGTTTCATATATACATGAACAGCACTATGGTCATCACGTTATCAAGTTATATCCGTGATGCCAGTCCAATTTCTGTATTCCGTTGCCATGGTATGTAATAAAGGGGTGGGTAGGGGAAGGAAGTAGGAAAGGGATAGGGGGAGCGGGAGGGGCGTCAGGAACCTACAGCTCACCATGCGAAACGCGATAACGCTGATTTTCTGCCGAGGTGTGGTATTTCCCGGTTCGAGCGACCCAATCGAGCTGAACAACCACGTGTGGTCGTACAGCTTGCTCTACTACTTACACTTCCTTTTTGCCCGCACAACCACATTGTGGAATCACCTTCCACTAATGGTATTTCCGAACCGATACGATATTGAAACCTTCAAGAAAAGAGCTTATTCCTTTTTAAAAGGCCGACAACGTACTACCAATTCCTTTGGTGTTGCGGGTGCTCATGGGCGGCGGTAATCACTTACCATCAGGTGAGCCGCATGCTCGTTTGTCCCCTAAGTTATAAAAAAAAATCTACAGTCTGTTTTCTGATGAATTTGATTCTAGTTGAGAAAGAGTTTTATTAGTAGTTCATTGTATTTATTATAATAAACAAAAACTACAGTCTCTTTATTTATAGTGTATTTAGTTGCCTTGTTAACCATAATATGGCTGAAGAACATAGGCGAAAACTTCGATAATGTAAATCCAATGATCCAACGTGCGATAAAAATCTACACATATAAATAAAATTAGAGTGTCTGTTTGTAATATTGAAATATAAAGGAGTAAGTGTTAGGCTACTTTTATTTTAAAAAATAAAGTTTAATTCCACGCGGACGAAGTCGCGTGTACAGCTAGTTACCAATAAAGTCTTTATACCGTACTATCAGTGACCGTGGTTTTACTCGCATGAAATTTATAGCCTACATGTTAATGTGATGTATACTGCTATATATATACATAGCTATACTAGCTTTTACCCGCGGCTTCGCTCTCATTGTATCAAAAATATTTGTTTTTTATATAAAAAAGTATTCTATGTTCATTCTAACACCTCCAAGAATATGTGTACAAAATTTCATGATGATTGGTTTAGTAGTTTTTGCGTGAAAGAGTAACAAACATCCATTCATCCATCCATCCATCCATCCATACTTACAAAATTCGCGTTTATTATTAGTAAGATATCGTTGCGGTAATTATTGACAATAGAGCAATGTGATGAGACGGTGACAAAGTTGTCGATTATGACGGCCTCGGTGATCTAGCAGTTCAGCACAGTGCTTTACTTCCGATGGTCGCGGGTTCGATTCGCAGCACGGTACAAACATTTGTATTCCCGAGTATTATTGTTTGTATCGGTCTGGTTGTTTTCTATGTATAATATGTACGTATTTCCAAAAAATCTATGTATGTGTATCAATTGTCTAGTATTCTAGTACACTTAACACAAGCTCTGCTTAGCTTGGGACTAGATGGTGCTGTGTGAATTATCCTGATATATTATTATTACTATTAATTATTAAATAAATATGAAAATAGTAATAAAATAATTCTCGACCTCGGCGGTCTAGCGGTTTAGCACACCGCTGTACTTCCGATGGTCGTGGGTTCGATTCTTCGCACGGTACAAACATTTGTATTCCTGTGTATCCGTGTTTGTACCAGTCTGGGAATTTTCTACGTATATTAGATATGTATGAAAACACAAAAAACATCTAAGTATTTATATCAGTTGTCTAGTACACATAACACAAGCTCTGTTTACCTTGGGACTAGATGGCGCTGTATGAATTGTCCTGAGATATTATTACCAACTAGCTGTTCTCGCGACTTCGTCTCACGAATTTAACTTTATTTTTATAAAATATTTTTTCTAAAATAAAAGTAGCCTAAATTACTCCTTATTAGATTAGCTACCTGTCAAAAAAAGTTCCATCAAAATCGGTCCAGCCATTTCAGAGATTAGCCGGAACAAACAGACAGACAGACAAAAATTGTAAAAACTTTTATTTTAATATTACAAACAGACACTCGCAATTTTATTTATAGGTATGTATAGATAATAATTATTCAAAAATAATTAATTAAAACAATAACATCCAAACTTTCTTCATAATGTAAGAAGCACTAATTATGATGGACGACTGAGGCTTTGAAGCCGGCTACCGCAAGGGAAACCCCAAGTAGCGCCCGTGACTTGTGACACGGGTGTAGGTTAAAAGGCCCTTTTAGAATGCATTAACACTCACCTTCACTACTTGCAGCTTCTCCCCAGGCCCAACTAAGACCGGGATAAACCCATTCCTAATACAATTCACTTTAGTATCCAAAACACAACTGGCACGCTCTGCGCTCGTCGACTGAATGCCGCGGCTCACGCAACGAAAGAGGATTATTCAACTACCGACCTCCGTATTTATAGGTCGAAGTCAGTGTAGTAGGTTGGTCTATAAATACTAGATGGCGCTATTTACAATATTCGTAATAATCTTTACATTGGGTACTTCATTAGTACTAAAAACAAACTACATACCTTCTTTTAATATATTTTTAAAATATCTGATTTTTTCTACAATAATGATATGAATTCTAACAATAATGTAGTCTTTTTTAATAACTCCTGAAGAAATGAGAAGCGTGTATACCTGTGTGTGTTAAAATTTATAATATTTGAAAATATTATTAATTTCCCGTGCGAAGTCCGGATGGGCTCCTAGTTGTATAACGGAAACAGGGAATCGATTAGTCACATAAAGAGTCAGGTATTTACGTAAAACGACCGCTATCAAGAGTTCACGATTTCCCTGCAATTATAAAGATGTATAATCAAGGCACTTTGTTGACAGACAGTCCGAGACAGGAGCTGAGGCCGCAGGTGGGGCAGCTGAAGCCTTCCAGGACTCACTCCATGGCATGTAGCAATAGGTAAGGGACAGACCAACATATATTACTACTAGCTGTGTCCGTGGCCAGCTTGATATTTTTAGCTTGTGTTATTTTGATGTTACAAGCTATACTGTATAGTATCATTTGACGACCTCGGTAGTCTAGCGGTCTAGCACACCGCTTTACGACCGATGGTCGCGGGTTCGATTCCTCGCACGACACAAACATTTGCATTCATAAGTATGATTGTTTATATCGGTCTGGGTGTTTTCAATGTATAATAAGCATGTATTTAAAGAAAATATCTATGTATATGTATCAGTTATCTAGTACCCATAACACAAGCTTCAGCTAGCTTAACTTGGGTCTAGATGGCGCTGTGTGAATTGTCCTGAGATTATTATTATTCATCAAAATTTGTTCAGGACTTTTTGCGTTAAAGAGTAACAAACATTTATCCACACTAACAAACTCGCATTTATAATATTATTTATTTATATGTATTCGTGAGTTTGAATGTTCAGGGTGATCTCCTGTAGTGGTCCGATTTCGAGGGAAATTTATACAAAAATACTTGACGTTTATAAGCCACTAAAATATTCTATATGATTAAATGAGTTTATTTAAATTTTGAGGCACACAATAAACTATATAACGTCATGTTGCGACTAATAGGAACGAAGCTACAATGAAAAATGTAGCAAAAGTTTCGACAGAAATTTCGTCTCCATAGGTTGGAACCTCCTCTGAAACTGCACTGTCAAAAATCACTTAATGATTGACAGAGGAGCTTCCTCCCGCGTACCACTCTATTTGTGGAATGAACTTTCATGATGGACAGCATGGGGTTTTCCAAGAAGGGTACATTCAAAACCCCTGGTGTTTCAGGCGTCCTGATGTTACAGGCGTACATAGGCTAAGGTATTCGTTTATCGTCAGATAGGCCGTGTGCTCGTTTGTCATTATCGTGGTACAAAAACAATATTGACTCTTGCTGGACCTAACACATTAAACGGTGTAAAAGGGGTTTGTTAGTAATATGGCCTGATGACTTTATTGCTAACAGTATACCATGTCAGCTTGACCTCCACGTGGTACCCCCTGGTGTATTTTTATTTATTTATTTATTTATTTATTCATTTCAATATTACAACACCATTACAGTATAACCAAATCGGTGTCGCAACTTAGTACAGTATACACTCATATATATATATCAATTTATAACATAACATATTTTATTACATAATATAAACATTATAAAAATTCTAGATACTTTTGAATGGCTTCTGTGATCTTCGGCAGACTACAATCAAAAATATCAATATCATTTCTGATATTGTTCAGTATTATTTGTCATGATGGGCTATGTATAATAGTAAAACACTCCTTAGCCATGCTATAAAAGGGAAATATACTTACATTTCCATTTCTCTGGAGTTTTCATTACTCCTCCACCAATAGAGTTTTTTAGCTTATTGGCTAAAGTTTCCCACGCTTTATTGGCTTCTTGTTGGCCAAGGAAACCTTTGCCGAGATTACCCATCGCGACATCGCGATGGGTTTCGGCAAACTGTACCAACAACTCATATTGGCGGCCAGAAATTTGTTGCGGTTTGGCGGCATATTATACACAAATTCTGCGTATATTACAAAAAAAAGGTATAAAATATATCTGTATTTAGAAACATCACACTTTTTATTAAATATCAATTAATAAATAAACGACAAGTAAGTAGGCACTTTGTTTGTTATTCGAAGGACTAAAAATCGTTTCAAAACAGTCAACAAGTCTATCATACCATCAAATTAAAAGGTACCCTACTAAATGTATAAGCTATCTAGGACCATACTAATATTCTCCATCTACGGCATTGTACTCACTTTTTAAATTGGTCGGATTAACAACATTCGCTGCAACTTCATAGTAGTGTTTTATCGATAGAAATGATTTATGTTGCGGTCATTCGACCTTACTTGATCGCATTTTTTAAATTGAAATGTTATTATATTGCATCACAACTTCAACAGAAACAATTTCATATCGTGTTACATAATTGCCCACTGATCTCATGTCCATTTTATCATCCTCCACTGGTGCCCCGCCAGCGTAAACCGTTAGCGTAGGCGGGTGCACCATTCCATTATCATCAATAAAAAACATTAAACGTGAAAAAAAATATTAAGATGTGGCTTTTTTGTTTAAATTCTGACGTCTAGTACCTAAGAACCATCTTGATAATTGAGGTATTGTACCTAGTATAAGTTCTATTTTAATGAGAGTTACTTACATTTTAAATTTAATAATGTTATGAGTAAGTTCTAATTAATTTAAAACATCCATGGTTTCCAGTTCAGGTAGAAGTAAAAGGATACGCACGATCTTCACGCCCGAGCAGCTGGAACGGCTGGAGGCGGAGTTCGAGCGTCAGCAGTACATGGTGGGACCCGAGAGGCTGTACCTGGCACATGCGCTGCAACTCACAGAGGCACAGGTATACCCCCACCGATCGATCTCCGTCCAAATCGAACGGGGATCAAAATTACGACAGAACTAAATTAGGTTTCTCCTTCCTAATACGCACTGCCAAAGAGTGGAACACACTTCCAGCTTTTGTGTTCCCGGAGAAATACAACCCCGGATTCTTCAAGTCTATGGTGAATAGATATATTCTGGGTAAGCGCGCTAGATCCTAGGTCTTGCCATCATTTACCATCAGATGAGGTAAGACGAAGCGCAATCCCATTATTAATAAAAAAAAAAGGTTCGAACTCCTAGCAGTGCCCTAAGACTAAAGTCGTATCCGTCAGACGGGAGATGGGCTTCAGCCGTTCCATAAGTCCCACCGAGAGGGTTCAAACCCTGTGATCCTCACGCCTATAAAAGAGTATACCTTCAGATTGGTGCCTTTTTTTGTGTTTTTGGAGTTGGTTTTATTTATTTGTTTAAATTTAATTTAATTAATGATATTGATGAAGTAACACCCGTCTGCGCTGGCGGGGCACTAGTGGAAGATGACAAGTTGAACATGAGGTCAAGTCAGTTAGCCCTTCATGACCACTTCACCATTCCTATCACGATGGTTTCCAGAGACAACCCCGTAGAGCTCAAGTTGACATGGTACATTGCTAGCAATGGTTTTAGTTATCCACATTACTAAAACAGTTTTGTTTTCTTCATGGATGATAATGAAATGGTGCACCAGCCTGCGCTAACGGTTTACGCTGGCGCGCACCAGTGGAGGATGTTAATGTAAGGATGAGGTCAGGTCAGTTGGCCTATCATGACAAATTATCCAGGAATTTATCACGAAGGTTTCCAAGGGGACTAACAGTTTTTATGGATGATAATGTAATGGTGCACCTGCGCTAACGGTTTACGCTGGCGGGGAAACGGTGGAGATGATACAATGAGCACGAAGTCAGGTCAGTTAGTCCATCTTGGTAAATGCTAATTTACCACAATGGTTTCCAGGAGGAACGTGGAGGTCAACATTACTAACAACTTCCTCCTGGTGAAACAGTTGCCTATATACATAAATACTCACCGCAGATATTTCATCATATTCCCTAGTACGTTAATACTATGTTATTCCGGACGATTAAGATATCATAACGTCGTCCCTAGTGTTTTTGTGAAATGGAACTCTTAAAGCTGTTAGCATAATGATCAAATTTCCTGGTAGGTAAAGGTCCTATTCCGAAGGACTAAGGAGTGTTTTTTTGTGAAATGGAACTCTAAAGCTGTTCGCATAATGATCAAATTTCCTTGTAGATGAAGGTCCGGACTAAGATGTCATGCATTCGTTCCTGGTGATTTTTTTGCGAAATTAAACTCTAAAGCGTTACTCATAATGATCAAATTTCCTTGTAGGTGAAAATCCTGAGTAACATGTTATGACTTCGTACCTAGTATTTTTTTTGTGAAATGGAACTTTAAAGCTGTACGCATAATGCTCAAATTTCCTTGTAGGTGAAAGTCCGGACTAACATGTCATGCCTTCGTCCCTAGTGTTTTTTGTGAAATGAACTCTGTAATGCCTTCGTTTCTGGTGATTTTTTTGAGAAATGAAACTCTAAAGCTGTAATCATAATGATCAAATTTCCTTGTAGGTGAAGGTGTGGTTTCAAAACCGACGGATCAAGTGGCGCAAACACCATCTGGAGGTGACACAGCAGAGGTTAGCTGTACTACAGCGGCACAGACCAGAGCGAGACGACGATATATGAACACGTTCACTTTAGGGATGATCGATTTTAGAACATCGATATCAAAATCGAATGATAAATATCGATATCAGAAAACATCGACGTTTAGTAATAACCAAGGACAATTCATACAGCGCCATCTAGTCCCAGCCCAAGCAAAGATTGTGTTATGGGTGCTAGACAACTGATAGAAATATTTAACTACATTTTTTATAAATACATAATATATACATAGAAAACAACCAGACCAATACACTCATTATAGAAATATTTCTATAGCACTATAGTGCGAGGAATCAATCAATCGACCATCTGAAGTACTAAACTGCTAGTTCACAGAGATAGTCAGGCATCATGCTTGTTTACCGCTACCGTTGTATAAAAAATACTTTTGAAGACTTAACATCGATATTTTCTGACTAATCGATGATTATTGTATATCGATTACAATCGATCATCTCTACTCGATTGTGTCAACTCGGAACAAGTGTACTGGGAGTTAGCAATCACGTTCACTACCAAAGTATATACAACTCTATGGTACCTACCTATCTCAACTTTAAAAAATTCAATATTTATAAACTAGCCATAGAGCAATTAACACGTTTTATAAAAGTAGACATGGCGCTTTTGAAATTTGAACTTAATTTCAATTTATGCTTATTGCATCTGAAATCAAATTTGCAATATCAATTTTTTGCAATTTTGCAAATCCGGGAATTAATTGAAAAATACATAAAATTTCATCCAAATGGGTATGAAAGTTGAGATATTTTGGTAGTAAATACTGATAAATCTATTGAAAACTTAAATCTACGGAGCCAACCTTAACTTGCGTCACATGTTGAGGGAGATAGTGGGGGTTGACAAAGTGTGACATTGTGTGACAAGGGATAGGTCCTTGTCACACTTTGACCCTCTTAAATTTCGCGATGTCACATTTCAAAATCTAATCTACCTATAAAGCACAATTTTTAGACTTAACGAAAATCTTGTAAATTATTTACTTAAACTCTATAATTCAGTCCTGTTCTTATATTTATTTTACCCGCTATTTTGTTACTTTATTCTTTAAAATTTGTTGTCCAATTTATACTCCATTTACTAGCGTACAATTGTTATTGTGTACATGTGATGTCATAGTAAGGAGATCACTCATGTGACGTGACAAATGTGACTGTGTGTGACAAGGACGGAGAGGTCAAAATTTCATGTGACGTTTATGGATGGCCCCTTACTGGTTACAAATATTTATGACTGAGATGTGACAAGGGCAAAGGGGTCAAAATATCATGAAACTCATGTGACATTTAAGGATGGCCTCTTACTGATCACAAATATGACATGTGACAAGGACAAAGGGAGGGGACTAAAAATTATGAAAGCTATGTGACTTTATGGATGGGTGAACCTTTACTGATCAATTGTGATCATTAAAAAGAAGATAACTGGTGAATATATAGTTGCTGACGGCAACTGTGACATTTGAACTGTTGTAATACATGATCTATGATTAAAATAAAGTATACTGAATATCTGTAATTTTATTAATAGTAACAAAACTTTTTTTATTGTCTTTAAACAAGTTATATACAGGAAATGCATTATCACCATCACGTTATCATGTGACACCCGGGATACCATTCATGCGTTGCCATTTATGAGGATCAAGATGTCACGCCTCTTACCCTGTAATTTCACTGTGTAATCTGCACCCTACAACCGAAACAGCTTACAAAGCAAGCTGCTTGGCGGCTGAAATAGGTGAGACTGAGGTACACACGCAGACGAGTTTATATAATAACTAGCTATTCGCCCCGGCTTCGCCCGGGTGTACATGTATTATACATAAAACTTCCTCTTGAATCATTATTTAAAAGATCCGTTGCGTAGTTTTAATAGAATTATAGGTAGGTACTAGACAACTGATACAAATACTTAAATATATATTTTTGTAAATACCTACATACATAATATAAACAGAAAAGATGTAATATTCGGTTTCCCCTGGAAACCAAGTGATTGTATCATGATCAAACTGACTCCATTCTCATCATAACATTCTCCATTGATATCCCACCAGCATATTCCGTTATCGCAGGTAGGTGCAGCATTTCATTGTCATCCATTAAAAAAAACAAAGACCCAGACAAACAATCACTCACAAATGTTTGTCTGGGTCAACAAAACCTTGTACTGTACGAGGAATCGAAGCTGCGACCATCGGAATTAAAGCAGTAGGTATGCTAATCGGTCAGAGTAAAATAAAAATAAAACAGTAAATAAGTAATACTTATAATCAGTGTATAAATATAGTAATTAAATTTACAATTAGTTCTTACATTAAATAATTTAATTAATACAATAAAAAAAATTGCTACTTCTTTTATACAATAAACGATTTGCCGGCATACTTGATGGTAAGTGGTAACATTGCCTATATACATGAACAGTACCACGTACATCACGTTATCATGTGACGCCCGTGATATCACTCATTCGTTGCCATTCCAGAGTACTAAGATGTCACGCCTCTTACCCTGTAACTTCACTGTCTAATCTGCACCCTACAACCGAAACAGCAGCTTGCTTTGTAAGCAAGCTGCTTGGCGGCTGAAATAGCTGACACACGCAGACGACTATGTTACCACTCATATTTTCGCTGTATAACTGGACAAAAAACAAAACACAAAGTCACAAATTCTTTGAATTTCTAACTTTTTTGGATTTGTGACTTTTTTAGAATTTATATGTATATGAAAATGTTAATATAACATTAAGTACTTCTTTCACATAATATGCTTTGGCTTAAAATACCAACATCATTTAATAATGATGTTGGTATTCCAATTTTATGGAGAGCCCCTAATGGGGCTCTCCATAAAATTGGTCACAACAATTTGTGACTTATTCCTCCCCATGTCACAGTCGATCACATTTTAATAGTTAAAATTTCGTGTTTTAAAAATACTAAATCTATCACAATAGGTACAATCGTAGGTGTCCTAAATTTCATAATTTTTGCACTAACTTTGTGACTCCTCTCTACAGATTTAGTACTGTGAATCTTCTTAGCATTCTATGATGCTAAGAAGATTGCCTCACTTATCACTATGTCACAGTAGGTCACATTTCAATAGTTAAAGAGTTGTGTTTTAAAAAAACATTTTTCACCGGTAATAGGTTTTTGTGACAGTGAACTTACACACAGTTCACAAGTCCCGGGAACTGATCGGAATTTGCCTCTCTACCACAAGATACATGGATTAACCGTACCAAAGCCTTTGGCTTTTGTACGGTTAATCCATGGAATGCTAAATTTGTTCTCTTGTTGTACAATGTCACACCAATCCCCCGCGCTTCCTCGATTGACATATGAATACATAATATTATCTTATCTGTGGTATGACTTCATGCCTCAAACCTACGTGACCCAGTGTCCGAAAATCATGTTAAAACTGAAAAAGTCTAGTGTTTTTAACTGAAACATTAAACTAAAAACCGCGGGGTCAGATAAGCTTGTGAAACTGTGGATACAAATGTTTATAGTCGCCATTATTAAATTACTTCAATAAAACATAGATTTATAAAGCGCCATCTATAATTTTGTTGATGAATTAATTTAAAAAATAGATGCAGATAAAAACTTACCACTAGCACAGATAAGATAATACTGCATAGTAATAGACTGGGAGGTATTCTTAGTTATTTTAGCCTGCATATTGACACCTACCTATACTTAACAATACTTCTAGTAACTACTTCGAACAATCCTTCAAGCCATTTTTAAGTAAAATTTATCAAACGTATTTCGGTTATCACCTCATTTGAATTTTACACATTTCTTATATTATTCTTCAAAGATATAATACTTTTATATATATCTATAATATAATAAACAAATGGAAGGAAAATGTTCTTTTGCTACACCTATATGTAGTTATTTCAAGTTACTTAAAATATATAATTTTTTATATCTTCAAGATAAATCGTTACATTTAAGTAGAAATTCTACTATGTGGGGTGCGATCCTTTCTGGATAACTTACATGAACGTCATGATTTCCTGGTACCCGTTTCACTGAATATTGTCTCTCGCAATCTTCAACAAATACAAAGTCCGCCATCTTGTAAGCGCCATCTTGTATTGAGTCCTCCGCGAGTATAGACAACGTGGGTGTGCGGATCGAAGTGTATAATACTTTGAGGTACGAAGGGGGGAGGGGTGGTAAGGTGATCAGCTTGGCTCTTTGGTCGAACGTGAATCTGAAATATAATAAGAATGTTAATCGGCTATAATAACAAATTTTAAAATATTTTTTAACAATGGTTCCGAAGAATGGCTTTTGTTTGAAATATCATTTCTACCATGTTTCGCCATCAACTAGAAATTCTTACTTACACGCTGGATCCACGGCCAGTGCGTTTCCAAACAAGCTTTCTCCCGCGTACGTTCAAAATGTGGAAAAAACTATACGCAGAGGTTTCTTGTCTAGAGACCATAGACAATTTCAAGTGGGGGTTTGTTCAAGAGTGCGGGTTGCCGACTCTTAACCTTAATATACCCCAATATGACCTTAACCTTAATATACCCCATTAAGGTTTCTTAAAAGTCGACAATCTGCATGTGACTTCTCTGGTGATTTATAGGCTACGGTACCCGTTTACCATCAGAAATGCTATGAGTACTAGACTTACTCAGGTGAGGTATGGTAGTGTAATTGCTGGGTATAGTAACATAACTTGTTAGTCCTCCAGAATGACAACGCTAGAGGTACCAGAAGGTGAGGGAACCATGTGCGCGACGTGATAGCTTCTTTTTTGAACTAGTCTAATACTGTTTGACGCAGCTAGCCTTTACATCTTTACAAGACGGTGCGACGGATACAAATTTAGATGTGGATACAACTAGAAACTCTCAAACCATTGTAATTTTAATCCCCGTTTGAATCTGATTGGGGATCGATTAGGGGAATGGCCGCAGCTATTCTTTAGCGGCTGAATGTCACTCCAAACCAGCGGAAGTACCTGAAGGTCCTGCCTGACGGATACAACTTTAGTCTGAGGACACTACTAGGAGTTCGAACCTCGCCTCAGGCCGTTGTAATTTCGATCCCCGTTTGAATTGGACGGGGGATCGATCGAAGGAGAGTTGGTGTTGTTCATGTACATATGCAAGATATCTTCAAGAGACACTTATCCTAAGGTGGACCGTCAGCTAGAATACCATTTCTTTTATATGAAAAAATAAAGTGACTTACCTTACTAGACCCTTCCCTGCCGGCTCCAAGATCCTTTCAAGCGCAGTCTTCGTTGCTTCGTCTGTGAGACCTCGATTCTTCTTCATCATAGAAAACGCCTGTTAAAATACGCGCAGAATTAATATTATTGTATTTAAGAGTATCTACGGAAAGAACAACTATCATGAGGAGATAAGAAGCAAGCTCCTAAGAATATCATACAATTCTTGTCTTTGATGGATCTAGGCAGCGAATTCTAAAAAAGGGCGAGCACAATACATCTATGTAGTTCGAAGTGCTATAGGTATCTTTAGCACTAAGTAATACCCCAAAATCCCATTTACTAAACAGAACATGAAGTTCTTTGAAGGAAAACAATTATAAAAGTATAGCGTATGTGTATTAAAGTACATTTTTCATTGACATCAAAGTAGGAGGTAAATTATGAATTGTTACATTGTTACGTATGTTAACATAGTACATATTTATATGTATATTTAGGTGCATTTTCCTACAGCAACTTTTCTTGTATGTTTAAATATGTAATGTATATATGTAAATTTAAATAAAGAAATGTACCTTTTCATATGTGTATTTAGGTGCATTTTCCTTCGGGGAAATGAACTTCTTATACTTGTCGAAGTAAGATGTGAAGTAGTGCTTGTACCAGGCCGGCATCTGTTCGGGTGCTACAGTGTAGTACGCCGCTGTAGGATCTAAATCTATGATGCGGGAGATGCGACCGGGAAATGTTAGACTGTACAGCTTCCCTGAAAAAAAGATATACAAAAAACATGTCAAAATCTAACAAATAATCGATTATGAAAAAAATTCAATTTTTTTATACTACGATTGTGGTACATGCATACGGCCGATCTGATGGTTGAAAAAAAAAATATTTTATACTACGATCACTATCGTCACATCGTCATCAGGTGGACGATATGCTTATTTACCACTGTAAATAAGCATATCGTCCACCTGATGGTAAACGGTTACCGTAGCCTATAGACGCCTGAGACACCAGGGGTGTCACGTAGCGAATTAAGGTTTCTTAAGGGATCGCAACTTCTTTCGAAAAACCCCATGAGAGATCTCTCGAGAAAACCTCGGCAGTTCATTTGACAATCTAAGTGTAGGCGGGAGGAAGCCTCTCTGAAACCGCACTGTCCAAGATCACTTAGGTTCCAGCGTGTATGGATATTTGTTACTCTTTCACGCAATAACTACTGAACGGATTTTTATGAAATTTTATAGTAATATACAGGCCTTTGTTCAGCAGTGGACGTCTTACGGGCTGAGATGATGATAGCTTAAGCATCAGAATAACATATAGGCTATATTTTTATTGGAATTTAAGGCGAGTGAAACCGCGGGCACAGCTAGTATTATATATAAGATAAACGTATACGTAAACAGTAGACGCTATGCTCTTTGCCTGACCAAATGAATTTATTATAAAAAAAAAAACAAATCGACGAGTTGCCATTAATAAAAAATAAATACCTAATAATGTTCCCAATGAATGTGCGATGTAAATGAACGACTCCCATCTGAAGTGGTCTGCGACAGTCTTGATAGCGTACAGGATTTCGTATGCTGACATCATGAGGCCTGGCGGCACAGGATCCGACTTGCCATTGCCTGGCAACTCCATTGCTGCGATAATTGTAAAATTTTAATTATTTTTTCCACAGTTTCAAAACACCAGTACTTATTATTTAATATCTGTGGTTATCTAAAAATTATTAGTTAATTATTTTCCACAGATTTATAACACTAGTATTGTTTCTTATCTGTGGTATTTAAAACATCTTAAATACTTATATTTTAAAGATTGTAACCAAAAGAAACACCTAAATTGTTTTTTATACTCTAAAAACCGTTTCAATTCCACGCTGTCATTTCGGTAAAATAGCAATTCCGTGACATTGCAACGAGGTTACTAAATCGACATTCGATAGAAATATTTTTTATCGATATGTAAAGTTGCGTTTACGTTGCAATGCTAGTTGACAGCGTCAAATGGCGTCACACACAAATAATCACATTATTGACAGATGACGTCATTTTCACTACGTTACATACGAAAATCGTTGCGAACGAAGTTAGATAATTAGCCCACAGGTCACATGATGAGCGGAGCGCGTTGTTTCTTTTCCGCCATTCTAAGTCTATGGCAACCTTTACAACTGTAAGATTATGAATATAATTGAGTATCTAATATGATCTATTTGGTAAATAGCGCCATCTAGTATTTTTAGACCGAACCACGTTGTTTGTCATAAGATAACCGTTACCCTCGCTTCTCTCCCTACTACACTAACTTCGACCTATAAATACGGAGGTCGGTAGTTGAATAATCCTCTTTGGTTGGGTGTGCCGCGGCATTCAGACGACGAGTGTAGGGCGTGGCGGTTGTGTTGTGGATACTAAAGTGAATTGTATTAGGAATGGGTTCATCCCGGTCTTAGTTGGGCCTGGGGGGAAGCTGCAAGTAGTGAAGGTGAGTGTTAATGCATTCTAAAAGAGCTCTTTAAACCTACATCCGTGTCCAAGTCACGGGCGCTACTTGGGGTTTCCCTTGCGGTAGCCGGCTTCAAAGCCTAAGTCATCATCTTATACAAGTGCTCCTTCCACAACCGACCATTCCTCAAGACCGGTTGAATTTTGTGTGGTAAACGATGGAGGCCTGAAGGTCGACCTTCGATGAAATTTCGGATGAAGTCTGATAGAGATCAGATTTCCACTCTATTTGCAAGATATCAAAAAAAATCAAAAATAGAACTAGAAAGAATTGCTTTCAGCAATAAGGCCGCCTTTTTGTATTTGTACAAGACGTGTTGATAAATGTTAAGCGTAATACAACAAACAAAATTAATCATAGAAATGATAATTAAGTACATTAAATATTTACACTGTCTTTTCGATTTGTTAAGCGATGTCATATCAAGATTAAACAAATCAAGGAATTGAGATCGTTTAGCTGATATAAACAATCAAACATACGACTATTTAATTGTATGGCAGAACATTGTAAGTACTGCTTAATAATAATCTACATTAACTAAGTGAAATAAAATTTTATTGCATATTATGTGGTACATAGTGTCTGGTACTTGAAAAGTAACTAATTATCAAAAGTTTTAAGGTTTTGCTTTAAGCTGGACTTTCAAAAATTTGTAATTATTTAGTTAATACATATATTTATTATAACTGTTATATTACAGATTACTTAATCTATACATATAAATAAAATTGGAGTGTCTGTTTGTAATATTGGAATAACTGTTTTTTACTATATGCATATGAATATAAATACGGTACACACCAAAATAACAATTTTTGCAATTTTTGTCTATCTGTCTGTCAGTCTGTTTGTTCCGGGTAATCTCTGGATCTATTTTGACGGGACTTTTTTGGCAGGTAACTGATGTAATATAGAGTAACTTGGGCTACTTTTCATTTTAGAATAATAAAGTTAAATTCCGCGCGGACGAAGTCGCGGGTACAGCTAGTATTTAATCAAATCAGTGTTATTATTAACCGCTAGCGGCGCCAATGACTCATTTTTTAGATGCACGTTGACGATACAAGATGGCGCAGATAAAAAATGGCGGTTACTTTATCATTGTTAGATATATCAACTCTATGTACTAGTAAAAGTGTGTATTATAATAAAATAACAACTATATAACATTAATTTAACTATGTCTCTAACACAATTCACTTTAGCAATTAAAATACAACCAGCACATCCTGTGCTCAAAGACCGAATGCCGCGGCCTACAAAAACCCTCTCTTTTATACAGAGAAGATATGAGTGGGGGTTATATGCAACTAGTTTAACGACACCGAGTAATAATGAAACCACCTTCTTTTAATATTAAATATCAGATTTTTCGACAATATCGATGTGAACCCTAACATCATATAAGTAAATTATAATGTTGTAGAATACTGTAGATCAGCGGTTATCAACGTTTTACAAATCAAATGCCAAAAAATACAAGTGCAATAAAGTAAATATTATTATTATATACATACCTATATAATAGTAGTTACGTGGCAATAGCTTGACGAGTGGTCTGAAGCAGGCTGCAGAATCCACCTGACCATGGCAGAGAAGCACTGGCGGGTCGAAACAGTCTCCCCACGCGATCACTGGATAAAACATACATAGTAATAATTTAGTATTAAATATAACACTCATTGGTTGAGAAGGAGACTTGAGCACAGTATATGGTTTTTCAAGAAGGGTCTATTAAGGTTTCTTAAGTGTTCCCTGGTGTTTCAGACGTTCATCGGCTACGGTTAATTTACCATCAGATGGGCCGTATGCTTTTTTGCAACCATCGTAGTAGAAGAAGACGGTTAGTAATAATAATATCTATACATTAGCTCAACCGCATATTTCATCGAGCTATTCTAATGCTGTTAGCAGCCCCTTGACCGGACAAAAATCGATTAATTTGCTTAAAGAAATATTGAATAATTAATAATAACTTCTTTATACAAAACTTGTGACCCGCCGCAGCTTCGTACGGATGCAGTACAAATCTTTAAACTTCTCGGCTCGTTCTGCACTATAACACGCATGTATTATACACAAACCTTCCTCTTGAATCACTGTCTATTGCTGAAAACTGCATTAAAATCCGTTACATAATTTAAAAGATAAGTGAACAGACAGCGACGGCGACTCTGTTTTATATTATGTATAGACTAATAGTCAGACAGGTGGCGATGTAGACATGTCCAAAGGTACTTTAAATTTCAGTGATTTTTTTACCAAACTTGTATGACAAACAAACTGTAAATCACAACGCCGTCCATATATCTACATGAACAGCATGACTGACATCATCATATCATTCTTGATGACAGTTATGTCTTCGTACCCAATAATTTCACTGCCGTACTTCACCCTTCGAAACTCAAGTTTTGAACAAAGCAAAGAAAGCAAGCTGCTTGCAATTAAACAAACATGTATCAAACCTAGGTTTGTGCACAACAAAAATCTGTAGATTTTGCCAAACTGAAGAGGAAACGCCACTACACATCCTAAGTGATTGTAGCCCTCTCATGCATAAACGTAATATCCTTTGGAAAGTATACACTCTATCCTGAGGAGATTAAAACCATCGCTCCTAAGAATATCCTTCAATTCTTGTCCCTGCCGGGTCTAGGTAGCGAACTCTGAAAAAGGGCGAGTACAATAGATATATGTAGGTCGCAGTGCTACAAGTCCAAGCAACTGACAATGGCCCAAATAACCCAATAAAAAAAACTGCTTGGTGGTTGAAATAGGTGAGATTGAGGTACACACGCAGACGAGATTTTAGTCTATTTAAAAATACGTAAGCCCCAATAAACATATTGCTAATGTTTATTGAGACATTGATATTTTTCCTGTTAGATAAACAAATATAATTGTTAGATAATATGTTTGTATTTCTTGTTCATATATATTAATATCTATTCAGGAGAACTCTGATTTTAGTGATATCAAACGGAAGTGACAACACGTCATACTAAGCGGATGTACAATACTTATTTTTTTATATACCTAATTCAGATTTTAAAAATCTAGGACATTTTAGCCGCTTAAGAAAGTTAAGTTCTTTATATTATATTTTTTCCACACCGTCCAGTTCAGTATACAGTATTGCAATGGCAATGAAGCTGACGGTGCACCTAACGGTAAGTGGTAACCGTCGTCTATATACATGAGCAGCAGCATAGACACCGCGTTATCCTGACATGACACTGATCATCCGCACCACACCGCGAACCCTTTTGCCCCGGCATCAACTCGGGGAGGCAGATTGATAACCCCATTGCTAGCAATGTACTATGTCAGGGCGACCTCCACGCGGTTCCCCCTGGAAACCATCGTGTTAAATTCCTGGGAATTTGTCACGATGGGCTAACTGACCTGACCTCATGTTCATCTTGTCATGCCCCGCCAGCGTAAACCGTTAGCGCAGGCGGGTACACCATTCCATTATCATCCACAAAAATAATTCAGGGAGGCTGGGGAGCAGAAGATTGTTAGAACTAATGATCCCATTGCTAGCAATATATTATGTCAGGTTGACCTCCACGCGGTTCCCCCTGAAAACAGTCGCGATAAATTCCTTGTGAATTCGTCACGATGGGCTAACTGACCTGACCTCATGACCACCGTAAATCGTTAGCGCAGGCGAGTACATTCCATTATCATCAATGAAAATAAAAAAATAAAAACTCAATAACGCCAAATAACCAGCTTGTGCTAGGGATTTTTTCATGTGCCACCCGTGATACCTCATGCGTTGCCATTCCAGAGCACTAAGATGTCATGCTTCTTACCCTGAAATTTCACTGCCTAATCTATCATCATCCCAGAACTCAAACAACTTACAGAGCAAGCTGCTTGGCGGCGGACTGAGTGAGACTGGGTTACATCAGGTGGAATGTAAGCTACCAACCCTCGTGTCACAGCTCAATTTCGAGGGACGACAAGTAAGATTTCCATTTAACGAGTATCTTTTCAAGCTTTAATTCAAGTAGAAATTTACTTCCAATCCTTGCGTCATAACACTAACGGCCAATGCTCTACCAACCCTCATCTCACAGCTCATAAAATTCGTTTTTATTAAAAAAAAATCTTGTTATCGAAGTTTTCCATACAGATCTCTAATGTTTTTGAAAATATTATATCGCCTATGATCTTCAATAATGTAGCATACTAATGGTAAAAGAATTTCTCGAATCGGTCCAGTAGTTTTTTTTCATAGACAATAATGGAATGGTTCACCCGCCTGTGCTAACGGTTTACGCTGAGGAGGCACCAGTGGAGGCTGATAAGATGAGCATGACGTCAGGTTAGTTTGCCTATCGTGATTAAATAACATTGAAATAACCATGATGGTTTCTAGAGGGAACTGTGTGGAAGTCGACCTAACTTGATACATTGCAGGTAATTGGGACGGACACTAGATCCCATTACTAACAATGCCTTCCCCCCTCGGTCCAGTAGTTTCGGAGGTCATTCAATGTAAACAAAGAAACAAATATTTGCTTATAATAGCATAGTATATATATTATTCACACTAACAACGATTTATTTCTAATTAATTTGATTTTCTCGTCTTGTTCTACATATACTATAACACACATGTATTATACATATATACATTTCTCTTAAATCACTCTATCCATTGCTAAAAACTTCATTAAAATCTGTTGGGTAATTTAAAATATATAAGAGAACAGATAGCGGCAGCGACTTTGTTTTATACTATAATAAAAATATAAATATAAATTAGATGGTACTTACATGCAATTCTTCCCCATGGTGATTCTATGTACCATTCCTTCTCTAAAAGTTCCGACTTCATCACTTTAGTACCGGTAGCCACTGGCATTTTGAACTCGGAATACGAAGTTCTAAGTGTAAAATTTACACGCAATTGTACGGCAGTTATATAATTCTACGAACTAGCACAGTTCAAACACAAATAATGATCTTTTATACACTATAAGATCCTTATCTATTAATTATATTTTTTAATTGTCTATTATTATTATTTTTAATTACGTAACGGTCAATTACGGCCTCGAGTATTTTGACTTTTGTCTCGAAATTTCACTGAACAGCAACAAATTTCACTTACTTAATACACTAATTTATAAGTGTGTTGACACGTCGAGTGCGTATGTAAAATAAATTAACATTGATTATTGGCAAGTTTATAATGATAAGTAGATAAATGTGTATCTAATAATACGTAAAAATAAAGAGTTTGTTTGAACAAACATTTTTTTGGAACCAACGCTTCAATTCGATAAACAACTTTTTATATTTAGAATAGAATAGAATAGAAAATCATTTATTCAAATAAACTTACGCACTTTTGAATAGTCATAACATTTTTTTTTAATCTACCGCTCATTCGGAATGCTGTCTCATCACAAGAAGAACAAGCAAGAAACTTGTGTGTTGCTCTTTTAAATAATTTATTCTTACTTACAATTTAAGTTTAAGTGTGTGAATACATACCACCGATTAGCACTAATTCAATTTGAAAGTCCAATTCCTGAAGAGCATTAAAGTATTATTATTTGTTTATTTTAATTCAGGAAACTTAACATATTTACATCATATATATTGGCCCCGTAATTATTTATACTTCTTTGTTTTTACAGCTTCACCGGACGATAGGGGGCGAGGGGGAGGGGGAGGGGGGGGGGGGAAGGGGATTGTTAATAATGTGGACTAATAATCCCATTGCTAGATATGTACCACGTCAGTTCGACCTCCACGCGGTTCCCCCTGGAAACCATCGTGATAAATTCCCGGTGAATTTGTCACGTTAGGCTAACTGATCTGACTTCATGTTCATCCTATCATCCTCCACTGGTGCCCCGCCAGCGTAAACCGTTAGCGGAGGCGCACCATTTCATTATTATCCTCAAAAAAAAACTGGTGGAAGGACTTAGAGCGGCTGAAGGCAAACTCCTCCTTCGTTGTAATTTAGATACCCATTACAAAATGGTACAGGAGAAGGAGCCGATGTGGAGCGTCCGGGCGCGTGCAGGATCAGATTGATTTCGCTGTATAGTTTGGTGGGGTCGTCGTCTTCGCCGGGGAGGACGGTGTCGTGTGTGGTTTGATAGCGTGGTTCCCTACCACCGCGGAACGGGTGGTTAAGGAAGTTAGCTGCCGTTATGAGATCGTCGGAATCGATAATAATGTGAAGAACGATATGTCTCCTCGGTGCATAGTCGGCTGTCTATCACGATGACAAATTGGTGGGGCAAATTGATTGTGGGTACAATCGCAGGCTGCAACTAGTAAAATAGTGATAAATAGAATATCAGATAATACATTATCATACTATATTGTATATAAATACGCTGACTGATTATACTATGATTTATATATGTTTTTAATTATATACAAATATATCTAGTTATTCCGCTTGTCAACCGACTACAAAAAAAGGAGTACGTTCTCCATTTGATTATTTTTTTAAGAAGGAATAAGCGCTTTTTTTGAAGATTTCAATATCGTATCGATTAGTAAATGCCATTACTAGAACCACCGGAAGGTGATTTCACAATGTAGTGTTTTTTTTATGTAATTAGCATAACAAAGAAGCTGTTGACCAAAATAAAATAAAATAAAAAACCAAAATTAATACATACATTATATAAATGAGATATTTACCATGACAATATTAAAGAGCTCCCGATATTTCGATGCCATTACCAACGAGCCGGTCACGGGTCCTGACGACCTCAGTGGCCCAGCGGTTAATTTCTGATCGTCGCGGGTTCGATTCCAAACATTTCTATTTATGACACTTTGTCGGAACTCGACTGTTCGCCTGGTGTTGCCTCTTTAGAGGCGAAACATGTCGCAATATGGATGTATTATAGATCCAATAACGGTCAAAATTTTATGATAACTGACCCGCGCAATTTCATCAATGTTTAATTTCCCATTTTGCAATATTTTTTATTGCAGCTCCTCTCCTATTGGTCGTAGCGTAATGTTATATAGCTTAAAGCGTTCCTCGACAAATAGACTATCCAACACAATACTTGTCGTTAATCGATTTCCAGAGCTGTACATATTTACATGTGACTTGTTTAATTTTCGCAGAATGGCAATGAATTTCCTTATTAATACGTAAAATTGTAGGTTATTATTGTTTTACTATATATATATATATATTTGTAATTATAAATATTTCATATTGTTCGCGCGTCTTCTAAAACCATAAAAAAAAAACAAAAATAAAAAAATAATAAGTTGGTAAGCCGCCACACTGCTTTTTCCCGCCCCCCTTCCCCTGCACAATATGGACAATTATTTATTCGCCGCCATCTAACAAGTGAAACAACCACCGCATGAATTAATTTTTAAAAAACAAGGAGCTCCTTAAATATTATAACAAACTGTATTTGTGTCGCGAGTGTGGTGTATTATTATTGAAGTCATCTATACTATTATTTCTGCAATTTGGGTGAGTTCCTTATTTCCCTTTTCCTACGATCAGTGTATGCAGTGTGGCTAAAAAATACATCACATATTTTTGTATATTTTTTCTAATTGAGCATATTGGGAAGTTGTAAGGCTCGCTTAGTTGATTTCGGTAAATAAATAAAAGGAATTTTTCAATTGGAACCAGTAGTTCCTGAGATTAGCGCTTACAAACAAACAAACGCTTCAGCTTTATAATATTAATAATATAGATAGAGAATATCACCAATAGAGAAGGCCGTAATGGTTCCAATAGCTGAGTTCAGGTTTCCGCACGGAATATTTGTGATCTCACACATGCGGAACACTAGCGGAAAAAACAAAATAATATAAATCTATTGAGTCAAACATCTTACAGCAATTAGTCTGTGGTTTCATTAATCTATGCACGTATTCAATTCCGGTTCATGTAATAATAATAGCATTAACTGTGTTTGATAACAGTTATCGATTAAAAAAACCTAAACACCTTATTATCAATGTGTATAGGTACATAATTTATTACCGTAGACAGAAGCAGGGTTGTTAACCTTAACATTTTGTTTTGTAAGTAAAAAAAATACACCTATGGTGTGACTAGAGCTGTACCATCACAGCAGCTTGTTTAATAATAATAAATACAAATATAACTAGAGCTGTACCATTATAGCAGCTTGTTTAATAATAATAACTTCAAATATGTTGACTAGAGCTGTACCATCACAGCAGCTTGTTTAACAATAATAACCACAAATATAATGACTAGAGCTGTACCATCATAGCAGCTTGTTTAATAATAATAACTACTAATATGATGACTAGAGCTGTACCATCATAGCAGCTTGTTTAATAATAATAACTACTAATATGATGACTAGAGCTGTACCATCATAGCAGCTTGTTTAATAATAATAACTACTAATATGATGACTAGAGCTGTACCATCATAGCAGCTTGTTTAATAATAATAACTACTAATATGATGACTAGAGCTGTACCATCACAGCATCTTGTTTAATAATAATAACTACTAATATGATGACTAGAGCTGTATCATCATAGCAGCTTGTTTAATAATAATAACCACAAATATAATGATTAGAGCTGTACCATCATAGCAGCTTGTTTGATAATAATAACCACAAATATAATGATTAGAGCTGTATTATTATAGCAGCTTGTTTAATAATAATAAATACAAATATAACTAGAGCTGTACCATTATAGCAGCTTGTTTAATAATAATAATCACAAATATAACTAGAGCTCGTTACGAAATCATGAAACATTGAAAACGCTGTATAGGCAGCGGCCTCAATACGGCGCATCGTACCATGCGCCGAAACGTGCCGTCGAGTCAGCAAAACTGAAATGTTGAAATCGACCAAAGAACGCTATCGGAGTTGAATCACTCTTGGTTCTAACATCGACCAATTGGCATCTATAATAGTTAATAAGTTAAATTGTAATTTTTATATTTCAATTAAATTTAATATATAATATTTTTTGGTTTTTTTTGCGCCCTTCGGCTGTAGACTTTTTATCTGGCGCAGTCGGTAGGATTGCTGTAAAGTAGAGTCAGTGAATCAAGCATCTGGCGGCGGCGATTCTGAACCTAAGAAGCTACAGACGAGGGGGTATCCAGACATCGATACTGCAGAGACAACTAAAGAATGCTCATGTAAGTACCACTAGAATCGATCTAGAGTTGCTTTCCTATCTATATTCCTGTGTCATTTTTTTTTAGATCCTGTGTAATTTAATTTTCCAAGATTTTCCAATCGAGGCAATCGAGGACCCGTAGATATAAAGATATAGATTTAAATAGGAATTTAAATTTTAGCGATAGTGACACTAGCAGTGAAAAATCTTTTTCATCAAGCAGTAATTTTATTATAGGAGATAAATTTAATTTAATTATGGCAGATTTAGACAACATATGGAAGGCCCTTCGAATGGTGCCTGAATTTGATGGTAACCCGAATATTTTAACACGTTTCATTGGCTTGTGTGACCATTTAGTGAACGAGTATGTCAATTCATCACCTGATAATGGCTTATTAAATGCTGCACTACTGAACGGCATCCTGAATAAAGTTACGGGGCCCGCCGCACGTTTAATAAACTCTAACGGCATACCGGAGAACTGGCAGGGTATCCGTAACGCACTTATAAATAATTTTTCAGATCAGAGAGACGAGACCTCTCTCTATAACGACCTCGCTTTATTAACTCAGGGCTCAAGCACTCCTCAGGAATTTTACGAAAAATGCTTAAATTTGTATAGTACCATCATAACATATGTAACATTACATGAAACTATTGCCACCACTATACATTCTAAGCGCGAACTCTATAAAAAACTTACATTACAAGCATATCTACGCGGACTTAAGGATCCCTTGGGATCGCGTATAAGGTGCATGAGGCCTGAAACTATCGAAAAAGCTTTAGAATTTGTTCATGAAGAGATGAACACACTCTACTTGCAAAATCG